TCGTCTTAAGTAAAGATGCTTTATGCTTACTTACCAACCATAACTGACATTCCATGTACCTTTTAACAGGCTCCTTTTTTTGCTTATCACATAATGTTGCTAAAGAGAACTTTCCTCTAAGAGGAATTGGGTGTCGCTTTCAAAAAAAGTTGTTTTCAAATTACATATACATGTATGTTGTCATGTCGTACAATTTTTTCATTCATTTGTTTGCAAAGAGTCCGTTTTTCCGTTATGTAAAATTCAGAGTTCAGATTTCTTTGCTGAGGTGGAAAATTTCTTCATCATGACAAATTATCTCAAAAGGAAACATTTCTCCCCCAGATCCCCAGTTGCTGAATTCCTTTTGGCTGGTGGCCAATCACAGTCCTGGTTGCTAGGCAACAAGATTATCACCATAACAACAAGTGGGGGAAGTTCCAGAATGCAGAAGAATGGAATTTGTGATAAGTGCCATTCACTCATCAAACTTGAAACTGGGGAAGATGCAAAGCAAAGCACCATGGAGAGCTCTACCATCTTAAAATCAGGGGACTCAAGGAAGGCTGTTGATGAGCCTTCTGGGGACCAGCCAGCTCCATCCAAGGCACTGTTGCGAAGGCAGAGGTCTAAGTCTGGAAAGCTTGCAGACAAGAGACACGACTCTGGAGAGAAATCATCAAGGTGATTGCCTACTTTGCATAAGTTCTTTGTTAATGTCTAGAAAGAATGTGTTGTTTAAATAACCAATACAAAATATTAATTACCTCTTTTATGTAAATTTTTTTTAAAATTAAACTCTTTCTTGTTTCTGTAGCCATGGGACCACTACTCCCTCTTCGTCCCCCTTACCTACTGACAAATCAAAGTCCTTTGACTATGCTGCCCCACAAACACCCGAGAAATCCATCTCGGAAACACGAGGTTCAAGAGCGAGCAGCCCTCCACCAACAAAGACGGTCAAAACGAGCGGAGACAGTCATAAATCCAAGTCAGGGGCAGCCAGTCCAGGGAGTACTGGTCGCGCCGGATCACCGGTGGGAGGTGAACCCAAGCCACAAGCAGAGACGACTAAGGAGTTTATGGAGCGTGTCCAGGCATCATTGCATGAGAGAGCTGAGGCTTCTACGGTGAAGCTATCCTCCGTCAATATTTACCAGTGCAACTGTTGGTGCCAAGGGTGGGCTGAGGTGAGCAAATCACCTTCAATCTTTAAAGCTAACTACCTGAAATATCTCAACTCTAAATGTCAGATTTCTCAAGTTTTGGCTGATGCAGTCATACTGTCCATTATAAACTTGATGTTCAACTTTGTTGGATTGAGGAACAAAGGCCCAGAGTGATGGTGTTGGATTTGGTTTGAGTGTAGACACACAGCAGTTGCTCCATGGAGTGGCTGGCTAGTGGTACATGTACCCTGTATTGGACTGAGCTTGATTTTGTCAGGTTTGGTTCTACTATGAAAGTCACTGTTACACTACAGTGACCTATCCATACCAAATGACTCAAAACTTCAACACTGTTGACCAGTTGGAGTTTAACAGATTCTGTCCAGTCATGTGCCAGTAATTACAGTGATCCCCTTGTAGATACAAGTTGTATCTGGTGAACTTTGTTCAGTTCAGAGCTGTTTCTAAGAGCTCAGGGGATTAAAGTTGAGCTGAGATGTCTGTCTTTTTCACAACATTTTCAGTTGAAAGTGTTGACTTGCTAGATTTGTTTGTATGTCTTGGAGAAAGATTATGCTGCTGAATCATAGGTCCTGTTAAATTCTTGTGCAAAAATACATCCTGATAAAAGTTATCCTTGCAGTCAAAACCTGTGAAGTGATTTGATATTTATATATATCTGTGTAGTGTCGCAGCGGACATGGGTTACAGTTTTGACCATCTGTGAATGTTCAAACAGTAAGAGGGCTGATGCTAGAGATTTGCAGTCAGTTAGCATTTCTGAGTATTTTTTATTTCTTCTGTTACTTGAATGACAGCTTTGTTCCAGGAAATATTCAAATGTATTCTGCAGCTATGATAATGTAAAAATAAGATTAAAGGTACAGTCCATCATTTGCAGCTAGCCAACAAGTAACTGATGAAATTATTGTTGAAAAAGCATACTCGGTTTAAGCATGGTTACGGGACTAAAATCCCTTTGAAATTATTCTTTCTGGCAAGCTGTCATTTTATAGTAAATGAAAAAAAAGGCCTTGCGTCGAATAATGTGTGTAAGGGTGTGTTTTTGGAAACATGCCAGGAGCAGTTCGTTTTTCATTTGACAAAGGGCGTGCCGGCATTGTCACAACTCATGAGATCATTATATAACATTGCATTTAGCAACACTCGACAGTGTTCGGAATGCTGAATTCAGGTGCATTTCAAAACTTAACTTGGTAACTGTTGATTTGAAATTAAGAGCCTTGAATATTGCTTTTCGGAATATATAGTATTCACTGAGCTAAAACTTATCAGGTCAGCTAAGCACCCACCTTTAGATTTCAGCACTTTTCTTGCCTCAAACAGACATTATGCACATATGACAAATAATGAACTGGACCTTTAAGTACCAAAAAAGAATTTGAGGGATTAATATGAAAGTTGGCTTTGTTGAACTGAAGGTGTATGTGAGACGACCAACAGGCAACACATCATGGATCATGCGTATTGAGAATGGGGGCGCCCTTCTACCGTCTACTACCGATTTCCCATTGGCAGATGTGTCCTCCTTGCTGCTCCGTAACCGAGAACTCGACTTAGAAATTGATGCTATGGAGTTTGACGAAGAGGGCAGTGAAAATGATGATGGGGAAGAGTTGATGCTTGAAGAGGCAGAAGGAGATGGAATGGAGGGTTTGCAGGAGAAAGATGCTGGGCATAGCAACCAACTGGTTTCCAAGCAACGGGGTAAATATTAAATGTGTGCAAAAGCATTGTGTGATTTGTGACAAGAACATTTTAGGTGTCAGTCATCAAGTTAGGTGTTTTACAGGGGCCAGGTTCTATCATTGACCGTTATCAATTACTGGTCAACATTGCTGGTACCCAGGATATCTTTAATGCACTGGTTACCAAGTACAATTGATCAGTGCTTGACAAGTGGTCACTGATTCACATTTGGGCCACATGTTGATTCTTAAAACACAATAGACTTGAATGCAATTTTGGGGTAATAACAACATATTTTTGTAAATGTTAACAGTGTGTTAAAAATGATCAAAGTTTTGTTTCAATCCAAAATTCCAATTCTCAGGAATTGATTAGTTTCCATCAATGATTCAGTGTGATGTGCCTGTTTAACCCTTCAACATTTGTGTCTTTGTTTTGATGTGTATGACACTAACACCTTTGCTCTCTCTTTTCTGGTTTTTGGGGTAAACCTTTAATTTTGGTTCTGTTGTTGAATGAATATACAGCTTGTGTCAAAAAACGTAATCCAAATTCAGGGAGTTAATATGCCAAGGTTATTTGGTTAATACCATGAGTACCATGAGATACCTTAGGAAATTGATGTCTTCCTGGGACAAGCCAGTCTTCATTTCAGAATGACTCTTTCATTGGTTACTCAAATTTGAAAAAATTGGATTTGAAATGATCATTTTCAGTAACAATGCACTTGGTCATGTATGACAGCAATGATGCAACCAAGGTATCAATGGAAAGATGGTAAGCTACTCTTAATTGATGAATCACATGAAAATTGTCAAACTGAATAACCTTGGTATTTTTACTCCTTGGATTAGGTTACTTTTTTTTTAAATATGCAATTGACTTTACATGTTGTGACAACTTGATGCATGATTGAATGCATGTTGCACAAAATTTGACTGTTTGTGTTGTGTTGGATCAATAGTCTTTAAAACCAAGCTAATGCATGTTGGTGTTGTTTTCTTTGCAAATCTTCTCACTGTTTGTTTTAATCTTTCCCTCTTGAAATGTCTATAACCTCCCTTAGCTAACAACCTTTCCCCTACAACCTTTAACGCTCACTGGACTATGGACTCTGGTAGCCCAAATGATGATGCTGACGAAGGCCAATTCTTCCCTCCACTAATGGCAGATTTTTTCCTGGGGACTGGGCCAACCATTGTCATTGATCCGTCCTTCATCTACCATCAAAGCAGCTTTTCTGATGGTCAGCAGATGAACATATTTGGCATGTTGGATTCAAAGAAATGTTCCATTGATTTTGCTTTTTAAGTCCTCGTAGTGCTATGGAGTCTGTTATGTCAAGTTGGGCTGTCAAGCTGATATAAACCTTAACTATTGTGCATTAGTCAATATTAATCCTCATGGCTAATTTCACATTAGATGTGCATAAAAACGTGAAACAGTAGAACATGCCCTAAGATAGCTTGATGGTATGGTGTTGGAATGCCTTCTCTTAAGGGTCACTGTGCATGGAACCCAGACCCTCATTTTTACCTGGACATACCCTGACATATTAAGCAAAAGGTTTCAAGCGGATGAGTTTCCTCAAATTTGCTTGTATGTTGTTATTTTTATCAGCATGATCAATAGCCCTTTATTTTTGTTTTGCATGCTCAAGTTAACATCCTGCTTGAGAACATCCTGCAACAAAATGTTTGGGTACATGTGCTTGAGAATCTTACCCAAGTAGCAAATAAAATAAATTAAAAAAGGCATTTCCACGATGGCATATTTCCCCAACAAGATTGGGAGTAATAGAAATTCCCTTCAAACCCAGCGCAGCACATTGATTTCATTTTTAATATTGACAGTACATGTATCATGCCAATGTCTGTTGATTTCATTTGGTATCCATCTCACTTTTTGTCTGTTTGGTATTTGTGTATATCATTTATCTCCAAGCTGGGCCAGTGTTTCTGAAATCTTTTAACTATTGCACCAGTAGGTGTGTTCATGTTCAGTAACTATTATTGGTATTATGTCATCTGATCTTGAAATTGTTGAATAAACCACGATGAGTGGCACAATGCCCCACATCAGAACCTCTCTTTGATTTTCATTCATTTTAAACACCATTTCCACACCAGATGCAGATGAAGAGTTTTCTAAGCCCAAGCTGGGTCTTTCTCCCCGTGTTCATCATGGAATGTCCTACTTTCCAGGGTATAGCATGGTGCAGACATACATGGAGGACCAGGTAAGACAACCAAATGATGCTGCCCATGAGGTTATTTATTTTTCGTTTGATTTGCCAGGGAAGCCCCATCAATCTTCCAAAAAATCCCAACCAGTGTACTGTTCACGAGAGTGCTTTGCAGTCTACCATATAGTAAGACAAGTCAAAACATGACTTTAGGATGGTGGTCCTCTTATCAAGCAGTTGCAACTGGAATACATCATATTTTATAACAAACTTAACAAACTTCCCATTGTTACATACATGTACACAAAATGATTGTTTTGGGTATCAAAGTGAAGCTCTTGTTGATATCTTTCCAAACCTGAAGACTTCAAGTAAATTTAACCACTTCATGCCGGGGCA